CTGAACGCGAGGAACACAGCCTGACCACTTGGCCATGGAAACCTGCGTGGGGTACTAAAACACTTGGGTTAATATAACAGATGGGATAAAATGGGTTTACGTAACAGATGGGATCATATGGTGTTCATATATTAAATAGGATCGAATGGGGTTAATATAGTAAAGGGATCGAATGGGGTAATATACTAAATGGGATCAAATGTCGTTAATCCACAAAAGCGATCGAATTGGGTTATTATAATAAATGTGATCGAATGGGGTTATAATAAAGGGGATCGATTGGGGTTATTTTAATAAATACAAAAGTATGGAGTTATTATACCAACCGTGTAAGACACCAGAGAGATTAGAAAAGCATAGCATTTAGTTAGCAATGAAATGACTGATCTCATGTCATGCAATGCTCTAGACCAGGGCTATTCAACTAGCGGCCAGCGGGCTATATGTGGCCCGCGAAAGCCTAGCATAAGGCTCGCGGAAGCCTAGCACGTGGCTCGCGGAAGCCTAGCACGTGGCTCGCGGATCATTGCCAATTGTATCGTGTTAATGAGCTGTCTATACTCGGGCTTATTGACCCTGTAAATACGCAACTATCTGGCTCACTTCTTCCGTGTTTTTTTTAGGAGGCGGCGGGGAGGGGGGGGGGCGCTTTTTTTTTTTTTTTTTTTTTTTTTGTAGTGAGTGGCTATACGCTTTTTTTTGGATCCGAAGGACTTTTTTTTTTTTTGTTTTTTTGCTTCCAGGTCGACCAACCTTTTTGTTGGAAACCAGGAACAGTCATAGGAAGTAACGTTTTTTTTTGATTTTTTGTTTTTGCCGATTGGTCTAGGAAATATAGATCTAGCCCTATATGCCCAGTACGCCTCAAGGTGCTGAAAAAGGCCATTATCTGACTTTTGTTTATTTTTTTTGTCCTTTTGTGTTTTTTTTTTTTTTTTTTGTTGTTATATATTGTTCTCAGATGTTCTCATGTGTGTCCTATTCACCACCAGCGTCTTCTCTTCCCTCTTGAGTCACTGCAACTTGTTTAGTTCAGTCCCACAGCTCAAGAGTAATTTTTTTTTACCATTTTGCCTCTGTTTTGTGCTTTTTTTTTTGTAAATCAATGATTGCAGTTTTTTTTAGTAACTTTTTTTTTTTTATCGGTATATAATTTTTTGTTGGGATTTAAAACTGAAAATTTTTTTTTTTTTTTTTGTACAGCAAAGTGTTTTTTTTTCTGTTTTTGTTTTTTTTTGTTTGTTTTAGATTTTTTCAGTTTTTTTTGCACAATGTGTATGTACTAACCGACAGGGGCGAGTTTTTTTTTGTTTTTTTCGGCAAGTACAGAAACAGCGGTTTTTCAGGTTGTTTTTTTTTTTGATGATCTCCTTGGCTTTGGCGGCAAAAAGCATTTTTTTTTTTTTTTAGTTTTTGATGACAGTTTATGACGGCGGTGAGAGTCTCGCTACCTGTGACAGTGGTAAGAGAGTCTTGTTTTTGTAACAATTTTTTTTGTTCTTTTTGTTTTTTTTTTTGTTTTTTTTGTTTTTTTTTTTTTTGTTTGTTTTTTTTTTTTTTTGCTTTTTTTTTTTTTTTTTTTATTTGCCTCCTTTTTTTTAGTTTGTGTTTTTTTTTTTTAACGTGTTTTTGTTTTTTTGTATGTGTGACATGTATATGTGTGGTATGTATGTGTGAAAGCCAGAAGGCAAACTGCTGATTTTTTTTTTTTTTTTTCTCGCTGGCAAACCTTTTTTTGTTTTTTTTTTTTTTTTTTTTTTAAATAAAGTATGTATGTGTAGGCGTGTTTATGTATGTCTGTATGATTCTGTGTATTTATGACTGTGTATAGGTAATTGTGTCAGATTGTTTGTGTTTATGCATCTCTTTGTCTCTGTGTGTGCGTCTGTGTGTGCGTGTGACTCAATGTGTAAATGTGCGTGTGTGTGTGTCTGTCTTTGTTTATGTGTGTGTGTCTCTGTGTGGATGCGTCTGTGAATGTGTGTCTGAGTGTGTGTATGTATCTGTGTGTTTGTTTGCATATGTGTCCGCGTTTAAGTGTGAGTCCCTGTTGTGTATGTTTGTATGTCTATATGTACATGTGTATGTGTTTCTGCATGTGTGTGTCTTCGTGTGTGTGTCTGCGTGTGTGTTTTTTGTGTCTATGTGTGCGTATGATCGTCTCTGTGTGTGCGTCCTGTTTGTGTGTGTGTGCGTATGTGTGTCTGTGTTTTTGTCTGTGGGTGTCTACATGTGTATGTCTGTGTGTATATATTTGCGCGCGTGTCTGTGCATGTGTCTACGTGTCTGCATGTATGTCTGTGAGTGTCTCTGTGTATGTCTCCGTGTGTTTGTGTCTGTATGTGTGTTTGTGGGTGTGTCTCGGTGTACATGTGTGTGTCTGTATGTGTGTTTGTGGGTGTGTCTCGGTGTACATGTGTGTGTCTGTATGTGTGTTTGTGGGTGTGTCTCGGTGTACATGTATGTGTCTGTATGTATATATTACGACCAGCTCCAGATAGAGTCGGCCGTGTACACGACTGCTGTATGAAAGAGAATGCTTGGAAGGGCCGAATGTAAGACAGGTCTGCGTGCCCAGATTGTGACCCTTTAAAAATATAGTCAGTTCGTTCGTTCATCCGCTGTGTGAGTAGAAAGACCGTCTCACCAGTTTTGACAACAAAAAGATTTAAAAAAAAAGAGAGAAACGCACTAAGTATGTGTCAGCTTTGCAGAGTTAGTTCAACAACAACAACAACAACAACAACAAACAACGAAAAAGAAAGGTAGTTGCGGTTGTTGGCCTTCATGAACAAAATGACGAGAAACAAAGCACAAAGCAAAGATTTTTTGTTTGTCTGTTGTACTTATTGTTGTAATGTTCGTTTATTTTTGTTCTGTTAAACGTTACACTGTTTTGTTAATCTTGGGACAGCATTATACGGGTGAGGGCGGGAGGTGGGGGAAGAGGAAGAGACAAAAATAGACCAATACCCCTCTTACCAATATGCAGTAAACAGCGACTATTTGAGAGTTTGCCGAACTCGCCCGTCATCATCATCATCATCATCATCATCATCATCAGTTTCCACTTCTGCCGTTAAGCGACGTGGGGAGAAACAGTTTGCCATCCATTGCTTGATGGGCAGCAATGGCTGCTGTCGTTCCGTGTGGATGTAGAAGCTCTTTAATATCATCAGTCCATATTCTGCTAGGACGGCCTCTTGATCTGTTACTGTGTAGCGCCTGTGTTGGTAGTTGTTCTGGCTGCTTTCTTACTAGATGATCACACCATTTGACTGTTTCTCAGTGAGTTTGCTGCGTGGTGTTGTCCTTACAGTCTGATCATATAATTTCATCACGAAAAATTGCATCCTCAAAAAGGACGGCAAGATGAATGAAAGGTAACTCAGTCGTAGCTTACCGTAGAATAGATCCCCTCGGCTTCCGTCCAAACTGTGTCATTGAACCGGAAGTCGCGACCTGTTGCTTGTCCTGACGTGCGAACCCGTAAAAGACTGTTGATCAGCGTGGACCCGAGGCTGTCCAGACTGAGCTGTGCTGACATCTGCGTCTGGATCTCTGCGGCTGTCCAATAGAAGAAGTAGGAACACGTCATGTAAGTCAACTCAGGCCACGCCCATATAAACACAACCTCACTTCTGATTGGTACTTCGACTCAACACTTCCGGTTTTAACAAACCCTTTTAGTCGCCTTTAATGATCTGCCTCTTACGGGACATCTGTACTGTTCTTCTCCATCCCTCATATGACCCCAGGACGCACACATCTACCCACCCATCTATCCCACAACCCACTCATCCATTCACATCACCATCCACCCATGCAATTTTTACATTGCTCCCTTACATTCTGGTTTTTACTAGTTCTGTGCTCGGTTCGACTGATACTTTGTATAACAATCAACCTCACTGTCTCTATTTCATAGCTGACAGTAAGAGAGAAGCATCGTGTCTTGAGACACTTGTTTTTACCTGATTTCATTTACTGGCACACAAATAGGCTGACACATCCATCCATTATATTGTCCATCCATCCACGGGTATAGCCATCCATCATTCCGTCTATTTGTCTACCCGCCCATCTATCCCACCACCCACTCATCCATTCACCCAACCATCCACGATATATCTATCTATCTATCTATCTATCTATCTATCTATCTATCTATCTATCTATCTATCTATCTATCTATCTATCTATCTATCTATCTATCTATCTATCTATCTATCTATCTATCTATCTATCTATCTATCTATCTATCTATCTATCTATCTATCTATCTATCTATCTATCTATCTATCTATCTATCTATCTATCTATCTATCTATCTATCTATCTATCTATCTGCCTGCCTGCCTGCCTGCCTGCCTGCCTGCCTGCCTGCCTGCCTGCCTGCCTGCCTGCCTGCCTGCCTGCCTGCCTGCCTGTCTGTCTGTCTGTCTGTCTGTCTGTCTGTCTGTCTGTCTGTCTGTCTGTCTGTCTGTCTGTCTGTCTGTCTGTCTGTCTGTCTGTCTGTCTGTCTGTCTGTCTGTCTGTCTGTCTGTCTGTCTGTCTGTCTGTCTGTCTGCTGTTATTTGTTCGCTAGCACAGGCACCACATTTATTTCATGTGGATGGACCAATGTCATCCCCACGACCCAACCCTGGTTACGCCTCATTGGCCAACCTCTCCCTTCCTCTTTAGACACTCAGTGTACGTTGTTGTGTCTATGGGCGTCTACTCCGTCCATTTCCTAGATATAGGCCAGTACCTGTCCTTTACATCCTCTTGAAGGAGATTTCTCGCCTGGAACACAGATAGGTATCATTCATTTTGTACATTAGAGTCCTATGTAGTCACTTCATAGTCAGAGCATATTTGTGTATGTGTACTGTAGTGTTCTTTATGTGCTGATGAAGGCTAATCGCCGCAACGTCCTTTGTTTGTTTATTGTGATCGATTTCAAGAAACCATTCGAATTTCAGTTGGGTTTATTCAGTTTTGTTGGTGCTTGATTGTATGTTGATGTAACTCTGCAGTAACGCACCTGACGAGAAACAGCAACATTTCTTCTTCTTCTTTTTCTCCAGCATTCCGAGCCCTTGAGGTTCATTGCTGCAAATATCGCACGCCTCCATTTCTCTTTGGTTAGCCTCCTCTTTCCAGTTGGTGACACCAAGTGTTCGCAGGTCTGCCTGGAAAGTATCTCTCCCCATCGTCTTCTTGGTCTGCCTCTTGGTCTACGACCATTCATTGCTCTTGTGTATACAGTTTTCACTTTTATGCATATCAAAAAATGCTTGGCAATAAATTGTGCAATGTATTTTTTACTTAATGCCGACGATCCGACCTCGGTATGGATTTTATTGCTTGCCAGCTCCGACTGAATGCCAGTGGGAGGCACACACACACAGGGTAACAGTGGAGTACTTACTTTTCTCATGCCAGTAGTGATCCACACTTCCAGTGTAAAACCCAAAGAAGGAATCGAACCCTCTCTCAGTTGGTGTGTATTTCTTATTGCAGAACCCTAGATGCCATCTGAATATTGGGAGAAAAAAACATATACTTTTTAAAATAGTAAAGTCAGTTTTTTTTTCATAATTATTGAACTAAAAAAAGAAAAACAATTTCTCGAATGATTTCTTTTTAAAATTAAAAATACTAAAGATTAATAATTCTCTTTACAGACTTTATACAAAATTGTATAAAATCTTTGCATATGTTAGATAGAAACCAATTATTATATATTTATATGATTGCATTGTCATCAACAAAGAATGTATGTGGACAGTTGGAACGGGAAAGCCTCTATGGAAATCAAAGGCACACTTTTTTTCTAAATCTTCAGGCTGATTGGTCATATAGGGCTAGCGTTCTATTTTAATGACCATTGGGCCCTCGATGGCTAATGTGGTCAACATCCCACCGACCACCTTTAATTCCCGAGCTTTTACCTGGTACCCATTCAGTGCTAGCTCGACCTGGGAGCCATGGTCATTTGTGAGCCGACTCTGTCAGGACCTGATCCCCACCAACTTCAGATCCGCAAGCGAGAGTATTTAAATCAAAGATTATTGGTTAGTTCGACGTTAGTCTTCCCAAACAGAGTAGGTCACTTTTCATTCACAAGTTTGTTAGGCTGGTCGACTTTAATCAAGATTACGGGTGTGTCCCGCTCTGTTTAGTTTCTGCGATGTTTTGCATTTACGTTTTCATTTTGAGAAAGAGCATGCCTGTGACAAAGGTTGCAGCACTCTCTCTCTAGGGGAGTTGTGTTAGACCCAGTTTCTGGATGTTTCTAGAGTGTTAAAAGCGCTGGTGTGCTGAAATTTAAAACACGCGATATCAACAGCATTGCGGACGCCGCCGTAACCTTGTGCGAAGGACACGGGGCTCAAGAACTACCAGAAAGAAGTGAGCTAGTGTGTGTATATATTGACAGGGTCTTGGAAGACTAACGTCAAACTAACTAGATTATGAAAACTCGCCGAGGGCGGCCCTAAATCCCCGTGTTCATCCTCGCCCCACGCCTCCCTTCCTTTTGATTGAGTCTTTAGTTATTCTTCCTAATTCGCGAAGGTTACTCCCCTCTTCTTCTGCGCCTCCCCTTATAAAAAGCAGTTGACACGTTGGGTTGTAGTTCACAATAAGTGAGTGATAAGTGTCGACACGTTACAGCGCATTGAGGTTTATTGCCTTTTACAAAACACGTGTTTACCCAAAAAAAAAAAAAGGGGGGGGGGGACCAGTGGATTCTCAGAAGCATACTTTCCACAGGATCAAAGGAATAACATCCGAGTGACTCTGGCTTTGTACTACTGTACACTTGATCCAAACGCCCTCTCCCAGCCAGGTTCCTAGGCTGTGGGACTGTTTTCTGTGTAGTAAATTGTAAAGTCTACTACGTGCTTGTGGCTTGTACTAATGATTGAATCTGCTACATGCTTGTGGCTTGTACTAATGATTGAATCTGCTACATGCTTGTGACTTGTACTAATGATTGAATCTGCTACATGCTTGTGGCTTGTACTAATGATTGAATCTGCTTCATGCTTGTGGCTTGTACTAATGATTGAATCTGCTTCAGCGTATGATACAAAAGTTGCGGACTCTGGTAGAAATAACCTCAACACGACTGTAGAGTATACGGTCTAACCCAGTGTTTCCCAAACGTTTCTTAGTCGCGGCGCCTTTTTTCAATGACAATTTGTTCACGGCGCTCTAAGTAAGTAAGTAAAAGTCAAGATCCCTTTTCACGACGTTTGGCGTATCGGGCATATGGGAAGAAAGCCGATATTTTTACTGACCTTCGGCGCTCGGTGGGTAATGTGGTCAGTATTACGCCGGCTGTCTTTACTTCACCGGGACAGCCATCCTGGTACTCATTTTAGGCTGGGTCGACCCGCGACGCCGCATACACGGCGCCCTAACCTAATTAAAAGTATGACTATTTGTATGTAAGAGATAAATAAATAAAACTCTTGTATCTTGGAATACTTGCGCGGCGCCCCTGTGAAGAGGTCGCGACTCACCGGGGCACAGCGGCACACAGTTTGGGAATTACTGGTCTAACCACAATCTTGTGTAATAATGATCAAATAATGCTGAAGAGCTTACTTACTTTCCAACGATGTGCGTGGCGTATCCTTGCTGTTTTAACCTTTGTGGTAGCAGGACATGCTTCAGTGGAAGGTAGAGAGGCACGCTTGGTTCTATTACGTCCTGGAAAACACACACAGATACAGGCATAGAATAGAGTAATATACACAGACACAAGCACATATTGAGGATAATATACACAGATGCTTGCACATGTTGGGGAGAACATACACAGACACAAGCACAGATTGGGAATATGCAGATTGTGCAGATTGCAGAGAGAATACACGGATACATGCACAGATTGGGTAAAATATACACAAACACATGCACGGATTGGGTAAAATAAACACAGACGCATGCACAGATTGGGTAAAATATACACAGACGCATGCAGAGATTGGGGAGAATATACACAGATACATTCAGAGATTGAGGAGAACATACCCAGATACATGCAAAAATTGGGGAGAATATACCATATACGTGAACAGATTGGGGAAATATACACAGACATATGCACACAAACTAGTGTACTTTTTTCTTCTTCAGAAAATACACAAATATATGCAGTTTCTGAGAAGTACACACACACACACACACTTACACACACACACACTCACACATACACTTACATAACTCCGAGAAAGTATACACATATACATACACAACTTCGAGAGAATTGTACGAATAAGCATCATTATGTGCCGTGCCTAATATTTCATGATCATTCGTGTCTCTCCGTGCATTTCTGGTTCCTCAATTGATGAACTAGGTCTGTTCTGTTGTTGATAAACGTCTACTGCCATGTCTTCAACCACCTGTTGAGCATTATTTTAGTTAAACGGTCTACTGAAGTTGTCGACGTCTATGACTTCGACATTGCGAACGCTTTTGTATAACCGAGGGGCCGGGTTCTGTCCCAGCTGCTGACGTATTGCCAGTAGACCGCCTTGCGTTGGTTTCGACAGTTATTTCGAAAGACGACTGTTTAGGAATCAGCAAAAAACTACTGATCACAAGTAAGAACACAAACAGCAAAAAAAAAAAAAAACAATTACTGCTGGGGTTGGTTCTGCAACGCTCTGTAAAGAACACGCAACTGACTTTATTTTATACTGAATTTAAATGACCAGTTTCCTTCATGTCAACGTCCCATGCACGTTGACTGTCACCAGAACATTCTGAAAATAATCTAGTATGCATGAAGTTATTAATGATTTGACCACTGATCCGTCTGGTGCAAATGAACATTCCCGCCATCCATTGTTATATAGTATTGCCTTGTGCAATATTGCATGTGCGATTGTTGATGATGTGTCTTAGCTACTGACTGGCTTATGCATTTAATACATGTGTTGACTTTGCAGGCCTGTGGTATAGGTGGTTTTTACCTGGCATAGCAACGGGGTAACTATGATTCGCCTGTTTTTAGGTTAAAACTGCGCCCAACTAACTAACCGACCTACTGACCGACAGACTAACCGACCGACCGACAGACTGACTGACTTACCAGCCAATTAAGCTAACAACCGGTTAGACAGCCTGCCAACCAACCAGTTAACCAGTCAGCCATCCAACCAGCCATTAAAAAAAACACACATGGGAACTAACTAGCCAACCAACTAACTAGCCAACCAGCCAGTTTTAACAACCAACCAACCAGCTAGCCAACCAGCCATTTTTAACAACCAACTAACCAGCTAGCCAACCAGCCAGTTTTAACAACCAACCAACCAGCTAGCCAACCAGCCAGTTTTAACCACCAACCAACTAACTAGCCAACTATCCAGTTTTAACAACCAACCAACTAACTAGCCAACCAGTCAGTTTTAACAACCAACCAACCAGCTAGCCAACCAGCCAGTTTTAACAACCAACCAACTAACTAGCCAACCAGCCATTTTTAACAACCAACTAACCAGCTAGCCAACCAGCCAGTTTTAACAACCAACCAACCAGCTAGCCAACCAGCCAGTTTTAACCACCAACCAACTAACTAGCCAACCATCCAGTTTTAACAACCAACCAACTAACTAGCCAACCAGTCAGTTTTAACAACCAACAAACCAGCTAGCCAACCAGCCAGTTTTAACAACCAACCAACCAACTAGCCAACCAACCAACTAGCCAACCAACCAACTAGCCAACCAACCAACTAGCCAACCAACTAACTAGCCAACCAGCCAGTTTTAACAACCAACCAACCAGCTAGCCAACCAGCCAGTTTTTAACAACCAACCAACTAACTAGCCAACCAGTCAGTTTTAACAACCAACCAACCAGCTAGCCAACCAGCCAGTTTTAACAACCAACCAACCAACTAGCCAACCAACCAACTAGCCAACCAACCAACTAGCCAACCAACCAACTAGCCAACCAACCAACCAACTAGCCAACCAACCAACTAGCCAACCAACCAACTAGCCAACCAACCAACTAGCCAACCAACCAACTAGCCAACCAACCAACTAGCCAACCAGCCAGTTTAACAAAAAAAAAAACCCAACCAACTAGCCAGGTAAACAGCCAACAAACCCACCAGCTAAACAGCCAAACAACCAACTAACTAGCCAGCTACACAGCCAACCAACCAAATAGCCAACTAACCAGCTAAACAGCCAACCAACCAACTGGCCAACCAACCAGCTAAACAACCAAACAACCAACCTACTGGTCAGGTAAACAGCCAACCAACCAACCAGCTAAACAACTAACCAACCAACCAGCTAAACAGCCAACCAACCAACCAGCTAAACAGCCAACCAACCAACCAGCTAAACAGCCAAACATCCAACCAACAATAGCCACATCTGAAGAGTCTTACTTGTAGTTCTGTGTGATATGGGAAAAAACCGGTCATAAAACTATTTCTGGACCTAAGAAAGACGAGAAATAGAAACATTAGCTCAGCGAACAATGTATAATTATATAACTTTTGATACAATTTAAAAAAAAAATAAATGATCGCTTCTTGTGCCACTTATGGGTATATGGTTGTTGCTGATGCTGATGTCACTTTTCCGTCTTTCCAGACTATAGTGTTATGTGTATATATAGTGTCTGAAGATAATCGCCTTTTACGACATGCTTGTTATAGACAAGAGCAATGGTCGGCAAATCGTGAGCCGTATGTAGCTGTTTAGCAAGTTGAATGCGGCTCGGACATTCGGCCATAAAATCGGTTTTGACTCCGAAAACATGTTTCTGTCAAGAGACAGAAAGTGGAATGGAAGGACATGATCACCATCATCTCAAAGACCTGACACAGGAAGTGAAATGGAAGGACATGATCACCATTGTCTCTAAGACCAGACACAGAAAGTGGAATGGAAGGACATAATCACTATTGTCTCTAAGACCAGACACAGAAAGTGGAATGGAAGGACATGATTACTATTGTCTCTACGACCAAACACAGAAAGTGGAATGTAAGGACATAATCACTATTGTCTCTAAGACCAGACACAGAAAGTGGAATGGAAAGACATGATCACTATTGTCTCTAAGACCAGACACAGAAAGTGGAATGGAAGGACATAATCACTATTGTCTCTAAGACCAGACACAGAAAGTGGAATGGAAGGACATGATCACTATTGTCTCTAAGACCAGACACAGAAAGTGGAATGGAAGGACATGATCACTATTGTCTCTAAGACCAGACACAGAAAGTGGAATGGAAGGACATGATCACTATTGTCTCTAAGACCAGACACAGAAAGTGGAATAGAAGGACATAATCACTATTGTCTCTAAGACCAGACACAGAAAGTGGAATGGAAGGACATGATCACTATTGTCTCTAAGACCAGACACAGAAAGTGGAATGGAAGGACATGATCACTATTGTCTCTAAGACCAGACACAGAAAGTGGAATGGAAGGACATAATCACTATTGTCTCTAAGACCAGACACAGAAAGTGGAATGGAAGGACATAATCACTATTGTCTCTAAGACCAGGACACAGAAAGTGGAATGGAGGGACATGATCACTATTGTCTCTAAGACCAGACACAGAAAGTGGAATGGAAGGACATGATCACTATTGTCTCTAAGACCAGACACAGAAAGTGGAATGGAAGGACATAATCACTATTGTCTCTAAGACCAGACACAGGAAGTGGAATGGAAGGACATGATCACTATTGTCTCTAAGACCAGACACAGAAAGTGGAATGGAAGGACATGATCACTATTGTCTCTAAGACCAGACACAGAAAGTGGAATGGAAGGACATGATCACTATTGTCTCTAAGACCAGACACAGAAAGTGGAATGGAAGGACATGATCACTATTGTCTCTAAGACCAGACACAGAAAGTGGAATGGAAGGACATGATCACTATTGTCTCTAAGACCAGACACAGAAAGTGGAATGGAAGGACATAATCACTATTGTCTCTAAGACCAGACACAGAAAGTGGAATGGAAGGACATGATCACTATTGTCTCTACGACCAGACACAGAAAGTGGAATGGAAGGACATGATCACTATTGTCTCTAAGACCAGACACAGAAAGTGGAATGGAAGGACATGATCACTATTGTCTCTAAGACCAGACACAGAAAGTGGAATGGAAGGACATGATCACTATTGTCTGTAAGACCAGACACAGAAAGTGGAATGGAAGGACATGATCACTATTGTCTCTAAGACCAGACACAGAAAGTGGAATGGAAGGACATAATCACTATCGTCTCTAAGACCAGACACAGAAAGTGGAATGGAAGGACATAATCACTATTGTCTCTAAGACCAGACACAGAAAGTGGAATGGAAGGACATGATCACCATTGTCTCTAAGACCAGACACAGAAAGTGGAATGGAAGGACATAATCACTACTGTCTCTAAGACCAGACACAGAAAGTGGAATGGAAGGACATAATCACTATTGTCTCTAAGACCAGACACAGGAAGTGGAATGGAAGGACATAATCACTATTGTCTCTAAGACCAGACACAGAAAGTGGAATGGAAGGACATAATCACTATTGTCTCTAAGACCAGACACAGAAAGTGGAATGGAAGGACATGATCACTATTGTCTGTAAGACCAGACACAGAAAGTGGAATGGAAGGACATGATCACCATTGTCTCTAAGACCAGACACAGAAAGTGGAATGGAAGGACATGATCACTATCGTCTCAAAGACCAGACACAGAAAGTGGAATGGAAGGACATGATCACTATTGTCTGTAAGACCAGACACAGAAAGTGGAATGGAAGGACATGATCACCATTGTCTCTAAGACCAGACACAGAAAGTGGAATGGAAGGACATAATCACCATTGTCTCTAAGACCAGACACAGAAAGTGGAATGGAAGGACATGATCACCATTGTCTCTAAGACCAGACACAGAAAGTGGAGTGGAAGGACATGATGATATTTGTCTCTAAGACCAGACACAGAAAGTGGAATGGAAGGACATAATCACTATTGTCTCTAAGACCAGACACAGAAAGTGGAATGGAAGGACATAATCACTATTGTCTCTAAGACCAGACACAGGAAGTGGAATGGAAGGACATAATCACTATTGTCTCTAAGACCAGACACAGAAAGTGGAATGGAAGGACATAATCACTATTGTCTCTAAAATCAGACACAGAAAGTGGAATGGAAGGACATGATCACCATTGTCTCTAAGACCAGACGCAGAAAGTGGAATGGAAGGACATAATCACCATCGTCTTTAAGACCAGACACAGAAAGTGGAATGGAAGGACATGATCACCATTGTCTCTAAGACCAGACACAGGAAGTGGAATGGAAGGACATGATCACCATTGTCTGTAAGACCAGACACAGAAAGTGGAATGGAAGGACATGATCACCATTGTCTCTAAGACCAGACACAGAAAGTGGAATGGAAGGACATAATCACCATTGTCTCTAAGACCAGACACAAAAAGTGGAATGGAAGGACATGATCACCATTGTCTCTAAGACCAGACACAGAAAGTGGAATGGAAGGACATGATCACCATTGTCTCTAAGACCAGACACAGAAAGTGGAATGGAAGGACATAATCACTACTGTCTCTAAGACCAGACACAGAAAGTGGAATGGAAGGACATAATCACTATTGTCTCTAAGACCAGACACAGGAAGTGGAATGGAAGGACATAATCACTATTGTCTCTAAGACCAGACACAGAAAGTGGAATGGAAGGACATAATCACTATTGTCTCTAAGACCAGACACAGAAAGTGGAATGGAAGGACATGATCACTATTGTCTGTAAGACCAGACACAGAAAGTGGAATGGAAGGACATGATCACCATTGTCTCTAAGACCAGACACAGAAAGTGGAATGGAAGGACATGATCACTATCGTCTCAAAGACCAGACACAGAAAGTGGAATGGAAGGACATGATCACTATTGTCTGTAAGACCAGACACAGAAAGTGGAATGGAAGGACATGATCACCATTGTCTCTAAGACCAGACACAGAAAGTGGAATGGAAGGACATAATCACCATTGTCTCTAAGACCAGACACAGAAAGTGGAATGGAAGGACATGATCACCATTGTCTCTAAGACCAGACACAGAAAGTGGAGTGGAAGGACATGATGATATTTGTCTCTAAGACCAGACACAGAAAGTGGAATGGAAGGACATAATCACTATTGTCTCTAAGACCAGACACAGAAAGTGGAATGGAAGGACATAATCACTATTGTCTCTAAGACCAGACACAGGAAGTGGAATGGAAGGACATAATCACTATTGTCTCTAAGACCAGACACAGAAAGTGGAATGGAAGGACATAATCACTATTGTCTCTAAGACCAGACACAGAAAGTGGAATGGAAGGACATGATCACCATTGTCTCTAAGACCAGACGCAGAAAGTGGAATGGAAGGACATAATCACCATCGTCTTTAAGACCAGACACAGAAAGTGGAATGGAAGGACATAATCACTATTGTCTCTAAGACCAGACACAGAAATTTGAATGGAAGGACATGATCACTATTGTCTGTAAGACCAGACACAGGAAGTGGAATGGAAGGACATAATCACCATCGTCTCTAAGACCAGACACAGAAAGTGGAATGGAAGGACATAATCACTATTGTCTCTAAGACCAGACACAGAAATTTGAATGGAAGGACATGATCACTATTGTCTGTAAGACCAGACACAGGAAGTGGAATGGAAGGACATAATCACCATTGTCTCTAAGACCAGACACAAAAAGTGGAATGGAAGGACATGATCACCATTGTCTCTAAGACCAGACACAGAAAGTGGAATGGAAGGACATGATCACCATTGTTTCTAAGACCAGACACAGAAAGTGGAATGGAAGAACATAATCACTATTGTCTCTAAGACCAGACACAGGAAGTGGAATGGAAGGACATAATCACTATTGTCTCTAAGACCAGACACAGAAAGTGGAATGGAAGGACATAATCACTATTGTCTCTAAGACCAGACACAGAAAGTGGAATGGAAGGACATAATCACTATTGTCTCTAAGACCAGACACAGAAAGTGGAATGGAAGGACATGATCACCATTGTCTCTAAGACCAGACACAGAAAGTGGAATGGAAGGACATAATCACCATCGTCTCTAAGACCAGACACAGAAAGTGGAATGTAAGGACATAATCACTATTGTCTCTAAGACCAGACACAGAAATTTGAATGGAAGGACATGATCACTATTGTCTGTAAGACCAGACACAGAAAGTGGAATGGAAGGACATGATCACCATTGTCTCTAAGACCAGACACAGAAAGTGGAATGGAAGGACATGATCACCATTGTCTCTAAGACCAGACACAGGAAGTGTAATGGAAGGACATAATCACCATTGTCTCTAAGACCAGACACAGAAATTTGAATGGAAGGACATGATCACTATTGTCTGTAAGACCAGACACAGGAAGTGGAATGGAAGGACATAATCACCATTGTCTCTAAGACCAGACACAAAAAGTGGAATGGAAGGACATGATCACCATTGTCTCTAAGACCAGACACAGAAAGTGGAATGGAAGGACATGATCACCATTGTTTCTAAGACCAGACACAGAAAGTGGAATGGAAGAACATAATCACTATTGTCTCTAAGACCAGACACAGGAAGTGGAATGGAAGGACATAATCACTATTGTCTCTAAGACCAGACACAGAAAGTGGAATGGAAGGACATAATCACTATTGTCTCTAAGACCAGACACAGAAAGTGGAATGGAAGGACATAATCACTATTGTCTCTAAGACCAGACACAGAAAGTGGAATGGAAGGACATGATCACCATTGTCTCTAAGACCAGACACAGAAAGTGGAATGGAAGGACATAATCACCATCGTCTCTAAGACCAGACACAGAAAGTGGAATGTAAGGACATAATCACTATTGTCTCTAAGACCAGACACAGAAATTTGAATGGAAGGACATGATCACTATTGTCTGTAAGACCAGACACAGAAAGTGGAATGGAAGGACATGATCACCATTGTCTCTAAGACCAGACACAGAAAGTGGAATGGAAGGACATGATCACCATTGTCTCTAAGACCAGACACAGGAAGTGTAATGGAAGGACATAATCACCATTGTCTCTAAGACCAGACACAGAAAGTGGAATGGAAGGACATGATCACCATTGTCTCTAAGACCAGACACAGAAAGTGGAATGGAAGGACATGATCACCATTGTCTCTAAGACCAGACACAGAAAGTGGAATGGAAGGACATAATCACTATTGTCTCTAAGACCAGACACAGAAAGTGGAATGGAAGGACATAATCACTATTGTCTCTAAGACCAGACACAGGAAGTGGAATGGAAGGACATAATCACTATTGTCTCTAAGACCAGACACAGAAAGTGGAATGGAAGGACATAATCACTATTGTCTCTAAGACCAGACACAGAAAGTGGAATGGAAGGACATAATCACTATTGTCTCTAAGACCAGACACAGAAAGTGGAATGGAAGGACATGATCACCATTGTCTCTAAGACCAGACACAGAAAGTGGAATGGAAGGACATAATCACCATCGTCTCTAAGACCAGACACAGAAAGTGGAATGGAAGGACATAATCACTATTGTCTCTAAGACCAGACACAGAAATTTGAATGGAAGGACATGATCACTATTGTCTGTAAGACCAGACACAGAAAGTGGAATGGAAGGACATGATCACCATTGTCTCTAAGACCAGACACAGAAAGTGGAATGGAAGGACATGATCACCATTGTCTCTAAGACCAGACACAGGAAGTGGAATGGAAGGACATAATCACCATTGTCTCTAAGACCAGACACAGAAAGTGGAATGGAAGGACATGATCACCATTGTCTCTAAGACCAGACACAGAAAGTGGAATGGAAGGACATAATCACTATTGTCTCTAAGACCAGACACAGAAAGTGGAATGGAAGGACATAATCACTATTGTCTCTAAGACCAGACACAGAAAGTGGAATGGAAGGACATGATCACTCTGAGTGGAATGTTTACGTGGAATGGAAGGACATGATCACTATTGTATCTAAGTGGAATGTTATGTGGAACGGAAGGACATGATCACTATTGTATCTTAGTGGAATGTTATGTGGAATGGAAGGACATCATCACTATTGTATCTTAGTGGAATGTTATGTGGAACGGAAGGACATGATCACTATTGTATCTTAGTGGAATGTTATGTGGAATGGAAGGATATTATCGCCAGTCTGACTAAAATATTTAAACTAAATACAGTGTACAACAGGCATTGCTAACACATGTTCAAGTTCTTGATGTAGGAAACACGATTATGTGTTACTGCTACTTGTCATCTGAAAATGCTGAGCAAGTACTTCGACACTGTAGACGTAATGCTGCTGACGGCGAAGTCACCGGGCCTTTTCCAACCTCAGCCAGATCAAAGCTGTATGAGACACGGCAAGTTATTGACTGCATGATAGCTTTCATAAGTGCTACTGAACTCTTGATAGCAGCGTTTCTGATAGAAAAGAGGAAGGGGGATAAGTACGAGGGAAAGTCATCAAGGAAAAGTGGGTGCCTTATTACTGGAATTTTTTTCTTTTTACAAGCGGCCGGAACTAAATTGTCCAGTGTCATACTTCTCGACATTGTGTCCCCGCCTTTCAACATATATAGTCCATCGACCCACAAGAGTGTGGATGCCCGTCAGGGAACATCTTTTGCGTGTGGCCAGTAACCAAATTTGCACCACCAAAATGACCTCATTGTCATCTGCAAATTTCTTAGCAGCAAGAGTTCTTTCAATAGGACAAACAAACGAAAGTTCTTTTGTGCCAAATCTGGGCTGTGTACTGTATGAATCAAACCGCAGTCTGTAATATATCCACTGTATGCGCAGCCGTGAGGGGGAAGAAAAAAAAAAGGGAGGGGGGGGGGAGTCATCATCATCTTCTTCTTCAGCATTCCGAGCCCTTGAGGTGGATTGCTGCAGATATCACCCGCCTCCATTCATCTCTCTGGCTGGTCTTCTCTTTTCATTTGGTGACACCAAGTGTTTTCAGGTCTGTCTGGACATTATCTCTCCATTGTTTTCTTGGTCTGCCTCGTGGTCTACGATCATTCATGTCCCTTGAGTATAAGTTTTTACTTCCCTGTCATCTGATATTCTCTCAATATGCCCCAATCAGTCGATTAGCTCTCATGATGCCAGTGATCAATGGTGATTTAAACAGATTATAAATTTCGTTGTTGCTTGTCACTCTCCATTCCCCTCTGTTTACATCTTTGATGGGTCTTAAGATTTGTAGTAAGACTCTGTTTTTGAAAACCTATAACAAGGCTTCATCTCTTTTAGTTGTGCTCCAAGTTTCAGAGCCACATAAAACGTTTTATATATTTTTATCTCAGTGTTGCGGGAAAGAGTCTGACTTTAGCAGATATTGAAGGGTATAATATACTTTATTTCCAGATTGTATTCTAGATTGTATTTCTTCTCTCTTCTTGCAGGCCGTTTCGATGGGACCTTGTTCGCTGACATGTCACTGTAGCGAGCACCAGTCAGTTTCCTGGAAATGCGATCAATGAAGGCACCACACTAGTCAGTTTCCTGGAAATGCGATCAATGAAGGCGCCACACTAGTCAGTTTCCTGGAAATGCGATCAATGAAGGCGCCACTGACATCCCAAACCATGAGCAGACACACGAAGAGGAAAGGCTAACTTACGGAGTGCACGATGGCTGAGCGTAGGTGGAGTCCAGGATGACTCCTCTGCTGGCCAGCCAGTTGAGGTTGGGTGTGATCATATCTGTGTTGTGCCAGCCCACGTCGTTCCAGCCTAGAAGTTTGGGATTCCATAAGCTTCAGTGGGATTGTTGTTTGGCATTGTCTGAATTGTCATGTCACTATTGCTGTTATTTACTGTTACAACCACCACCACCACCTACTCTACCGCCACCACCACCACCTACTCTACCGCCACCACCACCACCTACTCTACCACCACCCCCACCACACAACTACCACCACCACCACACAACTACCACCACCACCACCACACAACTGCCACCACCACACAGCTACCACCACCACCACCTACACTACCACTACCACCTCTACTACCAATACTGCTATTACTACTGGCACCATCACCACCTCTACCACTACCACCACAACACAACAACTACCACCACCACAACTATCACCCCCACCACTACCACCGCTGTCACTACTACCACAACCACCACACCTCTACTACTTCTACTGCCACCACCACCACTAGAACTACTACACCCACCACTACTACTGCTACTACCCTCATCAATAATACTGCTGCTGTTACTCCTAATCATGCTGTTTTTCCTACAACAAGAACAGCTGGTACTACTACTACTACTACTACCACCACCACAGTCATTTTTATTATGCTGCTGTTACTATTACTAAGGATACTGTTACTGCTTCAGCAGTACACCGGTACTACAATCACTACTACAGCTACGCCGACTGCGATTGCGAATAATACTGCAACAGCTTCTGCTACCGTTGAGAACTTGACAACAGTAACAAGCTACCGCTACTTCTGGTTTCACCAACAACTACTGCCTCTGCTGCTGAACAACAACTATGCTACTACCACCGTTGCTACTACTGCTAACTGCTACCACCACTAATACCAACAGCTACAATGACGATAACAATAACAACAGCAACAACTGTTACAACAGCAGGAGCAAAAACGCTATTACAACACTTGTACAGTTTGAAAGATTACACAGACACACGAACCACAGTGACATTACCCAAGTCATCAGCAACAATGAAAACAATATGAGGTGGCTTTTTGCCAGTCAGCCTCGCCGTCTTGCCAGAACATACATCTGCTAGCATAACCACAATCATCAACATTGCCGCACTGTCAGAACACGCCATAACTCTGGTTGCAGTCAGTCAGATTGGCGGTGGTACTAAACTGCTGTATACTAACCAACTCACTGAGCGTTTGGAAAGCTTGTTTGTTTTTGCTTACTTGCTACAGATGCGATTCGGAAAGATACTGTTTTGTTTGAAGTCCTCGATTCATTCTGAAATATTGATTTGATACACCGGTTTCCTCTGTGTTGAGTAGCAGGGATGTATTTAACGTTGTGAGGCCGTTGTTCTATCGCTGGGAGAAACAATCATTGGAGGTTAAATGGTTGGTCACAAGCCCACTAATGACTTCCTTCATTCAGTCTGGTACGGTCTCCTCGATGTAGCTTGGCTGCTGTGGATCTTGGACACGCTCTGAAGAAATGTGGACTCATTGGGTTAGGTTGAAAACACACAGATATGCACACACAGACACACACACAGACACGCACACACAGACAGACAAGCACACACACAGACACGCCCTGAAGAAATGCAAACTCATTGGGTTTGGTTGAAAACACACAGATATGCACACAGACGAGCGCGCGCGCACACACACACACACATACACAGAGACAAAGAGAGAGACACACACACGCACACAAACACACACAGGCAAGAGACTTAGACACACAGATACACCCACACATAGAGAGAGTGAAGCATACACAGAGACACACAGAGAAAGACACACACGCACACACACACTCAGGCAAGAGACAGAGAGAGAGACACACACACAAGGAGACAGAGAGACACACACACACAAGGAGACAGAGATAACACACACACAAGAAGACACAGAAAGACACACACACACACAAGGAGACAGAGAGAGACACACACCCAAAGACACACAGAGACACGCATACAGACATACACACGCACACAGACACACTCAAGCAAGAGACAGAGAGAGAGAGACACACCCAGAGACACACACAGAGACACGCACACACATATATCGAGAGAGATACTTAGAGACACACAAACCGAGACACTCGCGCGCGCACACACAGTGAGTGGGAGTCAGAGAGAGGGAGAGAGAGAAAGAGAGAGCAGAGAGAGAGAGAGAGAGAGAGAGAGAGAGAGAGAGAGAGAGAGAGAGAGAGAGAGAGAGAGGTACATAAACTTCGTCATACATTACATGCAGAGAAACGAGGTCCGTACTTAGTCGGGGCACATAGACGGGTAAATACCCAAATGTCTTCTTTATTTTTTATCGGTTTTTTTAAATTTCGTATTTGTCCCAAAACATCGGGAATCCCGGAGTTTCCTGGTCAGTCTAATGTTATAGGGGTTTTACGGTTTAAAACGAACACCCATTAACCCTAACACCCCTATGTCGCGGTCTTCTATTTCGCCCGTAAAAGGGCGGATGGCACATTGTGTTGTGGTTTACGGCTAGACTGCGACTTTAGGTCCGACATACCCCAATATCAGCAAACCTGTATTTAGACGATCGCTACGGCATGCTTGATACGGGGCTGTGATTTATTCTTTACTAGCTGTGCCCGGCCACGCGTTGCTGTGGCCCCGAAAGGTGAAATGGAAAAGAAAGTAGCTCTCAGCTAACAGTGTCTGTCAAAACCCTCACCTCCATTCCCCCTCCCCTCCACCCAGTCATATCTCTCTCTTCGAAGGATTGAAAAATCATCCCTGGCGAAAGTATAACAATAGAAATAGTTAAGAAATGAGAACTTGGAAATAATGTTTTGAGCTCTCTCAGCTAACAGTGTCTGGCATTGATCGTCGGTCACCCGCGTAACACACAAAATATACAACTACGCTACCAAGGACTCAAGCATCTGCCCAATTATATCTCGCTCTCCGAATGATGGAAACAATTCATGTGGCGACATTGTTAAACTGTAAAATAATGTTTTAAGCTCTCTCAGTTAACAGTGTCTGGCATCAACCTCCCTCAACACCCCCCCCCCCCTTTTCCGTGACAATCATATCATCCTCTAGGAAATATGGGAAAGTCATCGCCTGACGAAATATTATTGTTAAATTGAGCTTGGCATCCGTGTCCACCCAGACAAAAGTGGGTAGCATTAATCTGTACTAAGAAGTAAATGTGGCCAGTGTGACAGCTACCACATAGCCCATCGAGTACCAGTACTACTGCTACCACTACCACCACCACCGTCACAACATCAACACAAAACTTCCACTACTGTCTGTACAGGTCGTTGTAGCCAGAGGAGTTGGCGCGGCATGCTGTCGCCACGGACTGTTTAGTTTAAGTGTGTCCCCGACATAAAGCTCCATCACCTAACCAGTGGTGGAACCCACAGTAATATGCTACACAATACTCACAAATAGCGGAAATAAAAACCCGCACTCGTCATATCTGCCTGTGCGAAGGGACGATGTTTAACTAACCTTGGCATCCGCGTCGATCCAAACCAAACTGAACCGTTAGCCTTCTTACTTAACAGTTTCTGTCATCAACGAATAATTTTTTGATCGAGTGAATGGTCGGGGGGAGGCTAATTTGGACTGTACTGAAATAGGATGTCTATGGGCGTAAGGCGCAGATGTCGCAACTTAGCTGTAAACCACAACACAACGTGCCAATCGCCCCTTAAGGGGAAAAAGAAAAATGAGCACAGCTACCGAAGACTGAAGACTTTAGGTCAGATATCGCAGCCTAGCTGTAAACTACAACACAACGTGCCAACCGCTCTCTCAAGGGCGAACGAATATTACCGGTGACATGAACATTGAGCATCACGTTCCGCTATTGCAGGCTAGCTGTAAACCCCAAAATCGAACGGGAAAAAAGCGTAGATATTGCAGCCTAGCTGTAAACCACAATAAAACGTAGCAGCCACCCAGTTAAGCGGTTCAGTAGTTGTCCGAGTCTAGAGTTAACAACATCGGAAAATTAAGATTTTTATTACTATAGATATAAGATTGTGCCCCAGAATAGCCCCCCCCCCCCCTTTTCCCCCGAGCTCGAAACATATCGTCTGCAGCACGTCTCATTCATTCTTCAGTTAAGCGGGGAATACCCTCAAACAATGTGACACCACAATTGGAAACGAACTCTTTTGCTGGTTCTTCTTCAAAACGACTCCCACTCCACTCAGTCTCTTAACCAGAGCAGATCGGATACAACCGGTCCACGACAAGTGAAGTTTTGAGTGAGGGACTTGTCTGTGAACTCTTGACACAGCCAAGGACGTGAACTGTTTGACATAAAAAATCGTCCTTAACAGTCCATTATGTTATCACAGTCGACGTTAGTGCACATTGGGCATTCCTATTCGTGCGCAGTCCTCAGATGCAGCAGCCACTTCAGGGTACATCTAGTTGTTTCCACGAGAAGCTAGTAAAAGTGTCTCTTGTGTCACCATATTCTACTGGAGTTGTTGTTGTTCTTCTTCTTCCTCTCCTCCTCCTCCTCCTCTAATCCTCATTCTTCTCCTTCTCTGTCTTCTTCTTCTTCTTCTTCTTCTTCTTCTTCTTCTTCTTCTTCTTCTTCTTCTTCTTCTTCTTCTTCTTCTTTTTCCTTTTCTTCTTCTTCTTCTTCTTCCTCCTCCTCCTCCTCTCCCTTGTCTTCCTCTTCTGCTGCTGCTGCTCCAGTTACTTTATCGAAGTGGTAGTTGGCGGGGAGGATTGGTGTCGTTGGTGAGAATATTATGTGTACTGTATTCTAGTGCGTATTCTAAGTTAATCTTCTTGTCTTTAAGACAGTCCTTGATGAAGTCGTTCTATGAGCTTTGTGGTGTTTTCATTCCGTGTGTGTCAGTTATACTTCTTTAGCGTTGGCTATCTGTGACAGTTGGGACCAGGCATGCAGTAGCAACGAGTATGACGAGTTGGTGTGAGTTGGTTGTGGGCTTGTACTCAATTGGGCGGGACAAACAGAAAAAAAAAAAGACTTTACTTACCTTTATACTTTACTCGAAGTTACAAAATATTACTAATTCAGTATCTGTATTTGTAAAACATCACTGGCCTTTAATCGATAGATACGAAACCGAAGTGACTCTGTAGCTCTGGTTACGAAATTATAACTGGACCGACACGCATGTAGGTCACAAAACTTTACTGGCCTTAAATCTGTAACTGTGGAAACATTACTGGCCTTAAATCTGTAACTGTGGAAACATTACTGGCCTTAAATCTGTAACTGTGGAAACATCCTTAAATCTGTAACTGTGGAAACATCCTTAAATCTGTAACTGTGGAAACATTACTGGCCTTAAATCTGTAACTGTGGAAACATTACTGGCCCTCTACTTATTGTTCTGAAAGCTTTACTATACCTGAAGCTCTGAAAACACCGCTGCCTTTTGTCAGTAGGTCTCAAAACACCACTTATCTTATTTTAGTGGGTCTCAAAACACCAATGATCTTATTCCAGTAGGTCTCAAAACACCACTTATCTTATTCCAGTGTGTCTCAAAATATCACTGATCTTATTCCAGTAGGTCTCAAAACACGACTGGTCTTATTCCAGTAGGTCTCAAAACACCACTGATCTTACTCCAGTAGGTCTCAAAACACCACTGGTCTTATTCCAGTAGGTCTCAAAATACTTATATTATAGCAGTAGGTCTCAAAACAGCACTAGTTCCTTACCTGTGGCCATGAAAACACCACTATTCCCTTACCTGTGGCCACGAAAACACACTAGTTTCCTACCTGTGGCTCTAAAAACATCACTTCTAGTCCTTTACTTGTGGCTCTGAAAACGTCACTGGTCACTTACCAGTAGCTCTGAAAACATCATTACCAGTCCTTTACCTGTCGCGCTGAAAACATCAGTGGTCCTTTGTCAGTAGCTCTGAAAAGATCACTACTAGTCTCCCATACCTGTAGCTTTCAAAACATCACTGGCTTGTAGGTCTCTAAAACATCGCTAGCTCTATACATAAAGCCCCGAACCATCCCTGAACTCTGCTGACATGTGTAACATAAGAACCGTTTTAGCACACATATACAGCACCAGTGACAGATAATTCACAGCCTAAAAACAGTGATGACTGGACACTACTTACAAA